CGGTTGCGGTTGCGGGTCTGGAAAGTTGCTGCTCCGTTGTGGTTGCGGGCGCCCGCGGCCCCACGTGTGCTGCCAGGATGCTCGGGTTGCTGGCAGTGCCCCTGGCCCAAGGCGCCCCCAGGATTTCCAAGGATGCCCCCACGGCCTCCAGCGCACCCCTCACGAGGCCCAGAGGGCCACACGGGTTCCAAAATCGAGCGAGAGCACGGGGGGGCACCTTGGGCCAGGGGCACCTTCAGCGACCCCCGAGATGTGGCTGGCGCGGGTGCGGGCGCAGGTGCGGCGGCCGGCGCGGGTGCGGGCGCCCGCCGCCACAAGTGTGTGGCCCGGTTGCGGTTGTTACTGCCACGGATGCGGCTGCGGGCGCGGTGGCGGGCGCATCCGCGGCCTAAGAAAGGCGGTGGCCCGTCGCGATTTCGCTGCGTCTGCGGGCGCCGATACGGTTGCGGCTGCGCGCGTGTGTCTGCGGATGCCTGCGGCCCAGAAGCTGTGTGCCCGACTGCAGGTGCGCTTGCGAGCGCGGTTGCCTTGGCATCGCCCAGACGTGTGCATTTTTGTCGGCAAGGGCCAGCGAGGAGCATGTTTGTTCACTCTGTGGAACATGCACGCACGAAACCGAAAAGTGCACAGGGAATAGACGTCCGAGCGATGGCGAGTTTCAGGTGCGGTATTGGGGCGCGGTTGCGGTCGCCAGCGACGGCAGACGGTCCAGAATGTGCTCCCGATCTACCTGTTGACGTCAGTCAGTGAGTCAAGCAGTCAAGCAGCCAGTCAGTTAGCCACACTCGGCGGGCACAGAATTTCACCCGGCTTCCCGGGGAAAGGCCTCCGTCCAGATTTGTTCAAGATGCTGGAGGCATGTGCCTTCCGGGAAAGTGTGAGGCAGGGTTTTCCGCAACCGCGACCACGCAACAGTTGCAGGAACCTTGTCTGTTCATTTTCTATTATGCGCACTGCGACAGGCGGCGTGGGGTAGCAATCGCCAAGGCACCATCTGCTGATGCGAACATCCACGCCGTGCGTCAAGGAAGGACAGGTCAACCCAACCCGCAGATTCGGCGCTTACTCAAGCCACCCAGGACGTTTATTAGACAGTCCTGCCCTGTACGATTCGTCCCCTCGGTGCGTTTACTGGAGCGGCCTCGCCAGCATGGAGCGGTTACTAGGAGGTTCGTCTGCCCTCAGATGTCGATTCTCTTCTCCCTCTGGGACTCGGGACCGGGCGCTCTGGAGGCCACCTGGGCCCTCCTGGGAATCTTTGGGGGCCCCTTGGGCCAAGGGTGCCTCTGGCCATATTCGAACGTCGCTCCTCTTTTTCCTCCTCCCTTGGAACACTTTGACACCCTCGTCTTGCAGCGTATGGGCAGCCAATTTGGAACGCAACTGTCGAACAACATGGCTTTCCCATTGGACCCATAGATGCTGAGCCGCAGGGGTGCGAAGATAACCGTAACCGCGCCTCGCGCGTCGCGGTCCGTGTCATAGCAGCTGCCATTCCCCAAAGGGGGCGGCGCGAGGGCGCGAAGATGACCGCGCGTCGCGCATCGCCGGGCGCGATGTGCGAAGCCGGGTGGCGTAGAGATTCCCGATGCCGCTCCTCCTGTGCGGCATGCGCTTCTCCCCTGCCTGAGCCGATGTGCCACGCGCCGTCGCTCGCGAACGACCCGCCTGGTGCGGCGGCACCCGCGGGGCGTCCCCAGGCTGGGCGCGCCTCCGGCGCGCTCCTCGTCGTTGCCGCTGTCGTCCTCCCGACCTTCCCGGGAAAGGTCGGGAGGAGGGGAGGCCCCCAAGCCGCCAAGCCAAGCACCAAACACCGAGGGTGGCAGCGCTCGACGGCGACCTTCCAACTCTAACAGGCCTAACGTTCGGCCCTGGGCACGGACAACAGACTGCCCTCCGCACTAAGACCCCAGCAAATCAGCTGCCTTGATACGCCCGTTTTGAAACGCAACGCTTACCGTGCCCAAAACGTCCGTGTTAACACGCTGCGTGTTGGCTCAGCGTCGTGGCCCACGTTTGGGCGAACGCGTCGCGTCGTGCCAACGTTTTCAGTCTACGTGTTGAGCTCCGTCTCAATACGCTACGTGCTGCTGGTTGCGCATCGGGCAGCCGAGCCCGGCTATAGCCAACCTCCCACCCCTTTGCGACCCCGCGCCAGGCGATGCCGCGCTTGGCGCGGCCGCCCCTGCCGCCGCGGGGGGCGCCCCGCCTGCGGCCGCCGCCGCCGGGGGCGCCGAGGGCGCCGCCCAGGAGCCCCCCGGCGCCGACTGTCCACGGGGGAGCCAGGTCCTCCAGTCCTCCACCTCCTCCTCTCCTCCTCCTCCTCCTCCTCCTCCTCCTCCTCCTCCTCCTCCTCCTCCTCCTCCCCCTTTCGATGTGGGTTCTTTCTGTGTGTGTGTGTCTCGCGCACCGACTCCGTAACATTTCGATGTGGGTTCTTTCTGTGTGTGTGTGTTGTGTGTTGTGTGTGTGTGTGTGTGTGTGTGTGTGTGTGTGTGTGTGTGTGTGGGGGAGGATTGGGATTTGCCCGCCCACTCGCGCGCCCTTCAGCACGGTGCCGAATGGTCTGTCGTGTACTCTTGCTTGGGGCGTTATCCGGCTGCCTACGTCAAGTTCCGCCACCGTGCTTGAGCTGTTCGTATGAAGCCTAATGGATGTTCGCTGGGATCTCGTGCCTCTTGAGGACACTTTGTGGCCTCTTGGTTGGGGGCCGTTTTGAGGCCTCTTGGGGCATGTTTTGATATTATTGGGAGCCTGTTTTGGACCTCTTGGGGGCCTCTTTGGCGCCTTTTGGGGCCTCCTGGGGGCCTTTCGGGGCGGAAGGCTTGGACTTTCACTTCGTGTTGCCTGTCTTGGGCCCCTTGGGGGGCCGTCTGGGGGCCCTATTGGACAGTCGTGGGCGCGGCCTCTTGGAGGCCTTTTGGGGCGTTTGGGAGGCCTCTTGGGCCATCTTGAGGCCATCTTGGGCGTCTTCGAGCGATCATTCGACGACTCGGGGCTCTCTTGGACCGTCTTGGAGGCTGCCGGGTGTGTTTCCCCCTGCAAGTCGGCACACGCTTCCTTTTGGAGCAGTAGCCCTGCTCGCCCCCACTGGTCCTGGGGACCGTGCTGGGTTGTGGGGGCCTCGCCCCTCTCTTCTCGCCCCTCTCGCCTCCATCCTCAATGCGGCGGTGGCGGGCGGCGGCGACCTTGCAGCAATTTGCGCCCGAGGGGCGGAACGAGGAAAGGGCGCGCTCCGCGCGCGCGTGGGTGGGGCGGTCATCGTCGTCGTCCCTCCTCTTCCTCCCTCCCTTGGGATATTGGTATGCAGCAACTTAGACACGGTGATCATGGTTCAATCCCGAGTTTCCTTGAACCCAGTTTGGCCCCAAAGCCGAACTAACTTTCTAGGTTATCAGCCGAGGCGGGATCGGAAGATCCTGCCACCTGCTGCCTTGGGTGGCCTCAACCATTCTAAGCAAACATGTGCCCCCACAGGACGACGATGGAACAGCCGCCGCCCTGGAAGATCTCATCTGTGATACTTCCTTCGGAGCAAGACGCACCAGCCTCGAAGCGGCGCGCAGTTGGCGCGGAACGAAGCACAAGCTGCGGGAAAAACTGAACCAAATTGCCGCCGCACTTCAGAACAGGTTGCCCCGGCAGCGGGGCCTGCCCGCATCGGAGCCGCATCAGAAGATCAACGAGATAGACCAAGAGACATATCGCCCTACCCGCGCCCTCCTGCGGCGCGAAGGCCGTCGCCAGCAACGACGATGCCCTACGGGGTGAATCCCGCCCCGCGCCCCGAAGCGTCGGGAGTCAGCAGATCAGAACAAGCCAACGACAGAGAGCATAGCAATCTGATGGGCCTCCCGCAGCCACGGGAGCCGCTGCCAGTTCGTCCGGCACTGCCTCTGGAATCGGATCTGCTCAAGTTCTCGCATTCATGTAGAAAGAAGCAGCTGCGCGAGCACTGCGAGACCAACGAACGGCTGCAGCCGAAGCTCAGCAAGAACAGGCCCTCCAAGGACAGCTGCAACAAGTGCAGCAGGCACTCAACGCACAGCAAAAAATGCCTCGACTCAAGGACTAGCTATCGACGCCCAAGCGCGCTCGGTAGCATCTGAAGTCGCCGCTCAACAGCAACAGTCTCGGTCTTCTGACCAGGGGCGTATCAGCGACATCGTAAACCAACTGTTTCAGCGCATCAACGCGCAAGATTTGCGCATCAACGCACATAGCGAGCTCAAACAAGCTCAAGAAGCACGCCTGTAGCAAGCAGAACGAACGTGCCGACAACAAGTTGCGATCATTGAAGCTGCGCCTCTGCTCCGTACCGGCGTCGACAAGATCCCAGTTGGGATCCAACGGCTTGCCCAGCCAGCCGACGTGATGAGGTAACAATGGGGCAGCGCGGATGGACTGGCATCCACTCTGAATAATCGGACATCGGTGAACGAAGGTGCTATCATTGAAATACAAGGGCAGCCGAAGACTCTGGCCGAAAGACTGGCCATCGTAGAAGTAACCAACGGCATGGAGCAAGCTCAGAGCGAAGATCGCGGCGAAAAGAACGACCAAGGTCCGACGCAAGTTCGCGACGAAGCGGCTGTAGAGTTCCCGAGGACATGTGGAATCATAAGTTGGCACGAGGCTAGACTTGGCGAAACGGAAAGGAGACCCACTGCATTTGTCGAGAGACAAACACCACCAGCAACATGACATGTCAGCTTTTGTGCCCGGCGGTTCTGGCGCAGGTAGGACCCCCCCCCCCGCCAGCGCGGCGCCGCCCAGATCCACGGCCTCGAGCTGCTGCGCCAACGCTAGCCGCGCTAGCGAGCCGTATTGCTGAAAGAGCGGAGGCTAGTTCCCTTGCATCTGGCGGCCGGCCGCCGAAGACGCCGCCACCGCCGGCTGCCCGCAGGCAACAGAGCGATCAGCTTCGCGAAGAAGAACACGCATCTACACCGCCTCGGCGCGCACCTCGGGCGCAGAGCCCGCGGCGACTGCGCAGCCAGGCGGCGCCAGCGCCGCCACCTTCCGAAATCAACCCCGCTGGCGCCGCCGCTGGAGAGTTGTCGCAGGACGACGGGCAGTCGGCGGCAGAATGGTGGCGCAGCAACTGCTTGCCGAGAAGAAGAAAGTACAAAGAAGCTGACGAGCGCGCCTTCGCGGCACTACCTCAAGCCCCGTTTCTCCGTGAATGGAAGCGCGACGTGATCAAGAAGAGGCGCGCTGCATCTGGCCGCCCTGATGAAGCCTTTGAGTGGATGGGGGAGGTCGAGCATTCAGGCGAGACCATCGAGGGAATCCCAAGATACCGGTGACTTTAACACCCTTGATTCAAACATTGCCACTGGACTCTTCAACCTCCTCAAGCACGACGAGCTAAAACGCCGCGCGAAGAGTGCCGCACAGGAGGCCCAGGTGGTAGGGAAGCGAATGAGAAGGAGACAGAACTTCCATCGGATCTTCGATTGGCACAAGCTCGTTGAAGCAGATGCTTGCGTCTGTGGCTTTGCGCATCTCCAGGCCGTGAAAATGGTTGACCAAGATGCGGCGGGTTCTATCTACGAATGGGGCTACACCATTATGGGGGCGAAGTCCGCGCAAGAAGAATCAAGCCTCATCTCGCTGTTCAAAGCAGAGGTAGAGAAGCAACGCTCGATGGAGGTCGACATGGGCGAGTTCAATCGCACGGGGCCAGGCGACCCAACAAGAGCCACAACTTGCTCTATGATCGATGCGTTAAGTTACTGGCACGACAAAGAATGGCAACCGCGCGCGAGGAGTTGCATGACATATCAAGGATGACCGCGCCGGCTAAGAAGGAAGTCTGCGCGGATTGGAGCGCGCGTGGAAGATGCGATGACGCGGCGACCCGTCCGCGGGGCCACCCGGGCAAACGCGGAGGAGGGCGCCCAGCCGCTCCAGCGGAGCGGGTGCCTTCTGCAGACAAAACGAAGTTTTTGAAACGAGTGCGCTCGCGCCGGAGAATGCCCCAGAGGCAGCGGCTGCGACGCTGAGCGGCGCGAACTCGCGCGCACCTTCTACAAGAAGAGCAAATGCACAAAAGCATCAAGGCGCGACTTCCCGAGCGCCGCGAAAGGCAGCGGAGCTGCAGCTGCAAGTCGCGAGAGCTCGGCCAACCGAGGCCGCAGCGCGAGCCGCGACGGCAAGATGTCTGGCGGCGGTAACCAGAACAAGTCGGGAGGCGACCGGAGCGACGGGGGCGCCACTCGCCGGCCGCGCTCGCGCGGCCCGAGGGGGGGCCCAAGACGCTCGCTTAACCGGGGGCGTTCCCACTGCCCCACGCCACCCAGGGGCCCAGGGGGGTCGAGAGGCGCGAGAGTCAGTCCCTGGGCAAGGGTGGGCGCCAGCGAACATCGCCGCCTGAGGGGCAGCGGGGGCGCGGCGAGTCAAACGGCCCGCGCCGCGCGTCAATCGGCCTGAAGGGCGACGGAAGCCACGGCCCTGGGAGAGGGCGAAGGCGCCAGAGTCTAAGGGGCGGCCGCGCACAAGTCTGCGCGCGCATGCGGAATGGATTCATTCTTCAATCAATCCAACAACCGCGCGGTCACCTCTAGTGGCCTGCACCCTGCGCCCCCTAATCAGCGTCGCGGTAGAAGCCTCCCCATCGAGGCCTCCGCCCGCCGATGTCGGGGCGCGGCCGGCCGCGAGATGCGGGCGCCACAGTGCGTCTCCTGCTCGGAGTAGGGGCAGCTGTTGTCGAGGGAGATCACCCTCTTCAAACCCCAGGGGTCATTTTGTTCACAACAACAGAGGGCGCTCCGTTAGTAGATATGACCTGTCCACTGTGTCCTGGAGCCGCCCCCGCAGGGGCTCCCGGGAGGCGCCCTGGGCAAACGCTCGCGACGTTGCGCTTGCGCCTTGGTTCCTGGTTGATTGACCAGGACTTGCGTCGCGCAGCTGCGAGAGCAGTGCGATTGTCGAGCATTTGCGCACCTCGCAAACTCAGTCTAAAGATGCCTTGCGCTGTGTCTGCGCACAGTGGCCGCGCACCACGAGCGCCTCGTAAAACGCGCATCAACAGGATATTGATGCAGATCGTTGCGCCGTGCCGCGTCGCATGATAGTCCGGGACAAACGAGCGCACCCTCGGTCTGCAAGCCCACGGCCCCGCGACGAGGCACGCCTCGTCCACGTCCGCAGCTGCAGCGCTGCAGCAGAGCAGGAAGCCCGCGAGGCAGCGATCAGCTCGGTGGGGGACCAGGCCGAGCGCGGCGCTCATGACAAGTGCTGCGCGGACCGCGCCGTGCCAGGGTCCGATGCCAACGATGATCAATCTCATGATTTGGATACAGATAGTTACAACAGTGATGTGACAGTCTGGACATCGAAAAGCTAGCTTCAATACGAACGCCTCTGTAGCAATGGTCGCCGGCGGCCCCGGTCACATTCCAGGCGCGGCATGGCGCCGTGGTCGCGCCCGCGAGAGCGGCTCGTCGACTCTGCGTCGCTTTCGCATCCTCGGGGAAAACGACTTTGATCGCGACGAGAGATCACGCGCCGAGGACACTGGCCACGAGACACTTCTGCCCACGGCCGACCGTCCGACAGCTACGCGCGCAGCGTTGGGCGTCGCGCTCGGCGATGTCGAGATCGACGCTCAACCAATTGCCCTTCTAACTGCCCGTCTGTCCTGTCCATGGGCAGTTGATTCGTCGCCGCGGCTGCATGTTCCACCGGGATGGCAAACGGGCGGCGAGCCCGACGCTCCGTGGCGGACGCGTCGCGCAGCTCGACGTCAAGGGCGACGTTCCAGTAACGTCATGCCCGGCCCGCTACAGGCGCACTGGCAGCCCCTGGCCCGAGCGCCCGGTCGGCCTTCCACGGGAATTTCAGCGCGTCCTTGATCAAGGACCAGAGCGCTGCGGGAGGGGCCGGGGACGAGTGCCACAGACAGGAGGCGCGGGGGCCAGCAGTAGCGCGGGGGGGCAATTCTCTGCAGCTGCCCGCGCAGCGCCGGTCGAAGATTCAGTGCCAACATAGACGTGCACTCATTGTAGTACAGACGCTCCTGTGTCCTCATCTCGTTGCTTGACGCGTGGCGAACCGAGTCGCGTCGAGGCAGTTGGCGAGACCGAGCCCGAGCAGAATGAAACAACGATAGAGAACAGTGGAAACTCCCACAGAGACTCCGCCAAGCCCTCCCGGTGCTGACCTTCGTCGGGCACCGGCGGTTCCTGCGCTGCACAAAGGAGACGAGGACCCCCAAAGTGAGATACTTGAGACGTCCAGCAGTGATCCGCGAGCATTCGCGGAAAGGGCCGATGCCGAGGGGGGCCCGGTTGAGCAGGGCGACCACGACGAGCCCTGGATCGCCGTCGGGAGCGACGACGAAGATAGGGTCTCGACCAGAGACGAGGGTTCAGACGACAACGCGGCAGAGCGGGCGCAGGATGCAGAGCGCGAAGGTGGCATTTGTTCGTGTCGACGCTGCTTTCATGGCTGGGCCGTCCTCCAGCTTCTCCTGGGGGGGGACCGCCGTCGGCATCCCAGACGGCGACCTGCGCTGCATGCGCATCGCTGCGCGCAGGAGCGCGGGGCGCATGCCCAATGGGCCGTCGTTGGGGATGCGGCTGCACGCGGCCGAGGCGCTGCGCGGCAGGGACCTCGACCCCGAAGTGCCGGCGGTGGGCAGGGCCGCGTCGATGGCGGCGGCGGCCTTGCAGAGCGGCGCCGTCTCGCAGTCCGCGTTCGTTGCGGAGGTGAACCGAGCTGCTATCCGCCTGTGTGCGGCGACGGCCCCTTGTGTGCATTGCAGAGCGCCCATCGACGCCCTCGTCCTCGCGCTCGGCCGCGCAGGCTGGGGCGCGCGCGGGACCGACCTTGTCGCAGACCTCGGAGACGTTCTGGGCCTGGGCTCCCTTGGTCCCAAGGACCTCATGGTCGAGGCAGAGAGGGGGGCTCGGCGCGCGTCGGACAGGCGGGAGCTGGCCCGCCTTTCCAGGGGCGGGCGACATCGCCACCCGTTCTTCTGGGACGCCATCGGGGAGTTGATCGGGCCCCGCGGCTCACTGCGGTCCAGGGAGAAGGCGGCCTTCGCGTCCGTCTTCACGAATGCCCACTGGCCGCAGCAACGCCTCCTGGCGGCCAAGGAGCGCGACCGCGGGAGCTGCCTCCTCTGCGGCGCGGGCAATGGCACGCTCCCCCACCGCTTGTTCGAGTGCCCTGCGCTGGAGGTCGCCAGAAAAGATTGCTGCCCTGGGCGTCTGAGGCGCCGTGCGCAGCGTGCGATGCAGCCCGGGGAGGCGGCGGCGGAGGACTTTGCACCCATGCTTCGCCTCCCTGGTCTGGGCAGTGACACGGTGGTCCGCTGGTTCCGCAAGCCAGACGATGGCTTCCCTCGCGGGCGGTTGTTCCTGGGCGGGTCCGCGCTGGAGCCGACGCACGCAGCGACCCGACGCGCAGGCTGGGCCGTCTGCCAGGTCAGCGAGCACGGAATCCTGGAGGCCGCTTGTTTCGGCACCGCGCGGGCCGGCTTTTGTCCGCAGCAGACGGCCCAGAACGCCGAGGATCTCGCGTGCTGGGTGCTGACCGAGGTCGCTGGGCCAGGACGCCACGTCCTGCGCGTGGACTGCGCCTCCACGGTCTCCCGCCTGAGGCGCGGGCGCCAATGCGCCACTGGCATTGGCCGACCCGGCGCTCGCTTCCGGAGCAGGTTCTTCGCAGTCTTCGGGCCTGAAGATTACGTGGTCCGCAAGGTGCCAGCCCACCTGACGCGGGCGCAGGCGCAGGAGGGCCGCGTCTCGGAGCTGGAGTGGCGCGGCAACCGGCCCGCGGACATCTACGCCAAGTTCGGCGCGTCGCTCCGCGCTGTCCCGCAGGAAGTGGCGGTGCACTTCAAGGCCTTCGCGCTGGTCGCCCCGGAGCTGGCGCGCTGGATCGCGCGGGCGTCCGTCTTGATGCAGCAGGGCAGCCTCCGCGACGCACGGGGCCTGCCTGAGGGGCGGGCAGGGGAGGAGGCGGCCCGCCGTGACCTTCGAGGACGACCCGAGCAGCCCCCCGGCCGAGGCGGCGGCCGCAGGGGCGGCGCCCCAGCGGGAACGCCCCATGGCCTCGGCGGCGACGGCCCTCGGCCTCTCAGCTGGGCTGCTTGCGCTATGCGATGGCGGACGGCGCGGGCGAGGGCGCCGCCGAGCGCCTGGCCAGTTGCAGTCGCTGCGGCGCCCGCGCCGACATCGACGGAGGCAGAGGGCCCAAGCTGCACGCTGGGTGCGCGGGGCGCCCCCCCAAGGGGCCCAGGGGCAAGGGCGGGTCAGCCGCTGGGGGCGCGGGCAGCACCCTGGAGGGCGCAGAGGAAAGAAGAAGGCCACCAGGAACTTGCGCCAACCGGACATCACCAGCGAACTGCGGGGCGACATCCTCGCTTGGTTCGGCGCGCTTCCCGCGGAGGCGGCGTCCGCGGCGCCTGTCGGAGCTGCCGGCCGCGAGGGGTGCGGGGGAGGGACGGCCACCACCTGCGCGTCGAGCTCGTCGCCAGCGGGCGGGCTGCAGGCAGATGCCGACGCCGTGCGAGGAGGTCCGCGCGGAGCCGCTCACGGTCGTCCCGCGGCTGCCGCGGCGTCCAGCGGGTCGGCTGCGGCGGCGATCAGCCGCCCTGAGGCCATGCAGGCGCGCGGCCTTCGACGAGGCTGGCCTGGCCGATTGGCCGGGCGAGGTGGAGGCGCCGGCAGAGGAGCG